GAGAGAAAAAAAAAATGGAAAATAAAAGAAGAAAGCTCGTAACCTCGTCCCACAGTTCCTGGCAACGGAACGCCGAAGACGCTAAAGCGCGGGGAACGCGTCGAATGTAGCTGGACGCTGCCCAAAAACACTGTCCAACGGTTTTTAATGTTTCCCTTTTATGTGCTCCAATGTTTGCTCCGGCGATTCTCTTGGATTCTCGCGCTGCGAACGCGAATTTTGAAACTCCGATGTGCCCGGTTTCTGAGAAATTTCATTTCGAAGGACATTCGGCGTTCAACTTTATTCGTTGGCTGTGCCAGTTACACAAACTTGCGGGGGATGATTCTGTTATTTTCCGCGAGTGAGATTATATACGTGTTTGTAATACTGTTTATTGGTTTATTTATCGAGAACCAAGGCAATTTCTATATAAAATTATTTACAATGTCAGGGTAATATATATATGGAGTTGTTCTTTATGAGAAACGTTTGTGTAACTTTCGTAGACAGCAAATAGTCCAAGATAATAGTTTCAAATTCTTTTCCGTTGGCACGAAATTTCTGTAGGACCTTGGAAATCGGTGATTCGTGTTGGACAGTGAGATCGTCGCGATCGGTTCAAGCTTCTTCGCGAGAGAAATGGAGCCACCCCGGCCGATGCATCGCGTTGCACTAAGCGTAAAAACTAGAAGCCATGTCCTCTCGCAATCTACGTTTCATCGTATTCCAAAAGAAAAGAGAAAGACGAACCAAACGAACAAACCAGAAAGGAAACAAAGTAAGAAGGAAGAAAAACAAGGAAACGTGAACGTAAACGTGGGAGGATGCAAGAAGCGATGACATGATGACGCCTACGTGTGCCTACGTGATCGGTGACCTACTGAATCTCTGCGCCCAGAACTACGGTCGTTTCACGAGGATCGTCGCGCGTCCGGGTCTCGCTTGTCTCTCGTTCCGCGCGATCCCAACGAGAAATTATGGCGCGGCTATTAAACGGATCCGCGATTCGAATTTAATTGTCATTTCAATCTCGTCTTCCGACGGTTTCTTTTAACCGCCGCTGAAACGAGCCCCCGCCACGAGTTAAGCCAGTCTTCGGCGATCGCGATTAATACAGAGCCGTTCGGGAACAAAGTTTCATGGAAATTGTATCTTTTTGGGGACGCGTCGCCGCCAGACTGCGGATGTTTATGCAAATATTGTTTCAAGGATTAATTTAGAGTTGAATAAAATAAGATTTTCGATGGAGCACTGTAAACTTTTTACTGTACCGTGTTTCAAATAATCTTATCGACGCGAAAAAACCGCATTTGTCGGTTTATTAGTCATGAATGCAAAATGTTACTCGGAGGTTAGACGCGTTATTATTAAATCACGAAAGCTATAAGCGAACAAAGCACTCTTCCCAACGTGTTTGGAATTATCCAAAGGAGGCAGTTAAAAATACTAGCCAATCGAACGGTCGGTGAAAAATATGCAAATGTGAAACACTGGTTATATTCGGAGTCGAAAGGTTTCCAAAGATTCTTAAACCGAAGTAATATTTTCTACTTTCGTCGGACACTAGACCACGTCCGGTCGTTTTTCTTAGCGGAATCTATTCCGAGACTCGTTTCTGGGGTTACGCGAAGCCTGACCCCTCGAATAAAGTTTATTATAAATTCTTTTCCCTTTTCTCGTCGCGCGGTTTCTCGTTTCAGCGGGCTTCGCGGCGCCAGTGGATTAATAGGGACTGGTGAAAGGGAATCCCGCGACCGTTTTCGTCGTTTCTCGTCAACGGCGGCCGTTGCGCGCCGTCATTAAATCGTCCTCCGCGGGAACAAAACGCGGCCGGTCCCTTTGAGCCCGTTCACGCTTCTTTTCGGGATCACTTTCTCGTCCGCGCCGGCACGGCACGCGTCCGCTCAGCCGGTCCTCCGCGACTCGCACGCGATCTGGCGCGGTACGCTATCAAGAAACAACCCTAGCGGTGGTGAGGATGCAAAGAACTCGGTGGTGACTGGCGTGATACGTGAGAGAGGATAGAAAATATAAGTTGTAATGGCCGTACCGCTTATAATTTGACGGCATATTATGAAACCTAAAAAATAAATAACAGAGCACACGATTACAAATGAAATACAATGGAGAACGGCTGGCCGGTGCCAGCTCGGGGCTGTTTATCTTAACATTCCCTCGGCACGGGTTCAATTCGAACGGTCAAGAGCTCCAGTCGGAACTTAAAACCAGAATCGGTGCACGTAGTGCGCGAGAACACCGCGTCGGAACGAATCGGTTCAGGAAAATTAGAAAAGTTTGCTTTCTTCGAGGGATATCGAGCTGTAGAACGGGTATAGTGGGGTAGGCCTGAACAGTGACGACGGTTTTTAGTATCTAGGTTTGGCGAACAATGCGTCAAACGTCTTGTGTTAAACATGGCTTCGAGTAGGTCGAGATTTATAGTAGATAAAGAATTTCGCGTTAAGATTTTCTTTCTGAAGGTAGTATAGAGATGACAACCCCCAAAATTGTAAACACAATTTTTGCTTCGCACAAGATTCGCTTCATACATACTTCGGAAAATAATCCGTCATGAGAAATAGAAAAGATCCTTACTAAGAAACTTAATTGTAAACTCTGGTACAAAAAGTAATGCAGAGTTTATCAATTGCAATTTCGCGACACAAAAGATCCATCCCAAACAACTCAAACCTCGCAAGAGAAGCATTATCCGCCAAGCAGAAATACCAAAGCCGCGCATGCTCGTTCAGCTAAATCCTTTTCCTGGAAAAATATCTCCACGGCAAAGACGAGCGTCGAACGAAAGAGGAGAGCGATCTGATCGCGTCGCGGCCGCCGACTCTCCGACGATGGATTTATTAATGTAACCAGTGAAACCCTTTCGGACAATCTTGTTAAGCGAATATTGAAGGTTATTAAATATCTCGGACGCCTTCGCGGGGCACCCGGTACCCGGGGGAATTGGATGTATCAATTATTCGCGCGTTCGTATTCCTCCCACGCGGGAAACAAATGAGGGAAAGAGGGAGCAAGAAAATGAACGAAAGAGAGAGAGAGAGAGAGGGAGAGAGAGGTGGAGGAAGAGGGAAAAGAGAGATAGCGGGAGAAAGAGAGAGAGAAAGTGAACAGGGGAAAAAAGAGAAGAAAATTGGTCAGCCGACGCACGCAGAGATTGAGGCCAGATGGATTAATGAAGCACGCGGTCGTTCCGAATCGTTTCTACAGATTCTCGACGGTCGAACCGACACACCCGACCTCGAGGCGCGACCGCCTCTCACTCTCTCTCTCTCTCTTTCTCTCTCTTTCTCTCTCCATCCCTCGCCCTTCCGTGCGATCCTCATACACACACGAGCACGGGGAAACGCGATCCAACGGGGCGGGCGGTTCGTACGCGACGAAATCGCGGTACGCTCGATGAAAAATTCAGCGGCGTGGCGGGGGTGGTTCGGCGGAGGCCGCTTTTCCCCGCGCGGCGCGGAAAACTTTCGACCCGCAACTTTACCCCCGGACTACGGAGGCTGTGTCGTGCAATTTTCAACGAGCCCCGGCAACTTCCAGATATTATTATTATTCGAGCACCCTCGAAACCGAAGAGGGTCGGAGATAAGGCGATTGATTACAAATGAAAGCGAGCGAGCGAGTCTCTGCCCCGTCCCTTCGCCTCTTCCTCTCTCTCTCTCTCTCTCTCCCTCTCTTCCTCTCTCTCTTTCTCTCTCTCTCTTTCTCTCCCTCTTCCCCGATTCTTCGCCCGGCAATCGCATTACTCTCTTAGAGAAGCGACTAGAAACCCTCTCGAGAGGCGCAGCTTGAAATTCAGAGCATCATCCGCGGAATAAATTTACAAAGGTTCGACCAATTAAAGCTGGAAATGGTGGCCGGGAGGAAGAGAGGAAAGCAACCCTCTCGTCTTCGGGATTCTTCTGGGTGGTAGCCTCGGTGCATTCGAGTCACGATTAATCCAGGACGCGCCGGCAGACTACGCGAACACTTTTCCCTTCTCTGTCCTTCTAGGCGGCTGGTACAGCGGAATACACGGGAATACCTGTGCACTGATCACCGGTGTCCACGTCCAGCGGAGATCGGCGAACGGAAAGAAACGAAGACAGGGGAAACGGAATCACTCGCGTACAGGGGGCGAGCCTGTTGGACGACTCACTGGGCACAACCGAATCCGGAATTTGAGGAGGGAGCCGATTAACTCGTCACGGGCGTGACGGTTCGCTAGCCACTGAATCCGAAAGGGGCACGGGTTCCGTGGAAATTGCACGAATCGCCGCGCGTCGGAAGAAAGAGGGACGAGCGAACGATAAAAACTTTATTAACCCGTCGCGTTCAAAGTGGATTCTGTTTAGACGCGGTGTCCGGCGCGCGGTTACCGCCGTGTTCCGTGGCCCCCGGGCCACTGAGTCCTGTTTTTCGCTTTGTTTCCGTGTTTCCTTCGCCCTTTTTTTTCCTTTTCCCTTTCCTAACTTTCCTGCCGACGTTCCGTGCCCAGTCACGTAAACCGGTTGTACTCTGTCGTCACTCCGGCGTGACGTGTTTCTTCTGTTTTTGTTGTCGTTTTTTCGGGTTGCTCGTCACGTGGAAAATAAAGGGTCGGAAAGGCTCCGGTGGAAAGCACTTTGCACTCACAAATAACGATCGGACGTCATCGTTGGAATATTAATATGGATACGGGTTCAGGGGCTGGCTTCCGCAGCCAGCGGTGGTTGCAGGCCAACTGGCATGTCAATTGGCTTGTTGCCCAGTTTTATAACTTGGCTCTCGGCCTCTCCTCTACCCTGTCACCCACCCCCTCTCTCCCGCCGCCGCGTTCTGTCCGCCTCGCTCTTCCTTTCGACCGTTCTTTGTCGCCCGTTCTCGCTCGCTAATTCGCTTTCCCGCCCCGCGACTTCGTTATTCTCCGTCGTTCGCGCTCCAACATTGTCTCCCTTCCGACGTCGCGATCATCGACGGCCTTACGTCACCGTTACGCCGCCTTCCGTTACGGAAGACAAAAACCCCGGTCGTATCTAGCCTTCTTGCGACCCTCGTGCACTGCCAAGCAGCTTCGAGTCTCGAGTAATTAAGGAGCGTTAGGGATGAAATAAGTCAGTCGGCAGCGGATAAAATAAGTGTTTGGTAAAACGTATCACTGGAGACGGTGGAGGATGAAAAATTCACCGGCTGACGCCGGGATTGAGCGAAGTCGCCGGAGTGAATGTCTGAACCGGAAATTGTCCAAGCAGAAGGCGAAGAAAGATTTAAGACGGAAATTCTGTGTTAGAGTTTCTTGATCCATTTGTCTGATTAGCTACGGTACAATCCACCGAAGCGCTGACTGCAGTTATCTGACATAGAAGGAACTAGGGAAACGATTCGCAAGAAATAGAAAATTTAAAAGAAGAATTCGGCGGTGGTAATGATTTCTCCGTCATTCTGATATTGTCTTCAATCCCACGGAAACAATTAGAGTATATAAAATTACTGATATAATAAAATATCACAGCGTAACCAGATAGTAGTCGTAAGAATCGCGGTGCCAAGTAATCGATAATTGCTTCCATTTACCATTCCTACGAAACAATAAAGCGCTCAAGACTTCCGTAGCGGTGAAGGTGTTAAGACCGGAGCCGTAGAAGGTAGAAGACCCTTTCACGAGGTCGAGAGATCGAGGATTAAGCGTCAACGTCGGCAGCCACGTGGTCGAGTCGCAAACCGCAGGAACGGGGGATCACCGATCCGATGCAAAAAGCCGAACCGATGAGAGGGGTCGATCGATCGATCCATCGGATAGGGACCTAGCCGCTCGTGCTCCCTCAATGAGGCGGAATGGAATCAATGATGCAGGAAAGACGCATGGAGAAACATTTCACGGGCCGAATCTCGGATAATCTCGAACGACGGCGTCGCGTCGCGTCGCGTCGCGTCGCTGCTGGCCGTGTTATTGACGATTAAGACCGCGTCGCACGCTACCATTACGACGACAGTTACGATGCCGGTTACGGGGCCTGTAAACGGGATCTTAAGCCGGGAATAGTAACGTTTCGCGGATTAGTGACACGAGTCCCATTGGCCAAGGACTACGGTACGCTGCACCCGACCGGTTAAGTGCCATTAATTCATGAGTGACCGGAGAACCGTGAACCTTGCACGACACAGCTTCGCACTTACAACGTCAAATTCTTCGACCGTCGTTCCTGGTGGACCGTTGCTTTATTCACGACCGTCGCGTGTTCGCTGCTAATAATTAACGATGTGGGTCTGTGAGCGATCTCAACTCGCAGAAGTCTATTCTTTAAATCTGAGACCGGAAACTGTGACGTATTGCAGACAACGGATAGACAGTTGAATGCTTTGAGAATAAAAAGATTAATATTCGTTTATCCGATCTAGTAGCTATGGCTGGTATCGAAAAATATATATCTCTACGAAATAGGTCACATTTCTATATTCGACCAACCTCCATTATAGAAACAAAGCTATCTTTACAACAGTTACCATCTCACAATGAACTACTAAAATTCCCAAAAGAACTTTCCTTCGAAATTTACACAAAATCCCTGTATTACGACCAGCCCTTGTTCCAAACGAAAACAAAACCATCTATGACGATTTACTCAACCGACACCAACGGGGCAAACATTCCCAGACGATTCCGCATTCGGAAGAACCCCGCAAATACCCATCGTATCTCTATTGGGATCGATGATAAGCACTCGAAACAAAATCGTTCGAAGGTGAAACCACGATCGGTCACAGACTCACGTACGACGGTGTACGGCAACTCCGTTCCCCACCATAAAAACACGGTGGATGTAAGAGAAGACGTCGCGCTCGGTGGAAGACGAAAGACGAAGTGGATATCTCGTTAGCCGCTTTCTCCGTCTCTGGGCTGGGACGTCTTTGTCCGTGGGGGATATTCGCGGCGCATCGGCCGCGAAAATAGCACGCTCTCCACCCGACCGAACGTACATATATATATGTATATGTATATATATATATATATACCTCGATATCGTTCGACTTTTCGGGGTTCAGTGGTAGTGGGACGGAGGGGTTGGAGGTTGTCAGAGAGAAAGATCGCGCAAGGGGGAGGGGATGGATGGAACGGAACCGCGACGTAGAGAGATTTTCGAAGGATGGCTCTTACCTGGAGGAACTGCCGATACTGCTTATACTGGCACCGTCAGCTGTTCTCCTTTGCTCCCTGGAGACGTCGCAGTCGGAAGTGTCAGAGTCGCTGAGCCGCGACGTCGTCGACGGTGGGCTCCGATGCCGGTCCGGTATCACCATGTCATCGGTCTCCTGATAGTATCTGTGTAACGCGAAATTTAGATCTCTCACGCTACCGCTCTATCTCTAGCCATAGGAGAAAAAGAATCGGCCGATCCGGCAGAATCGAATTCGCTGTTTCGTTCCCGCGAGTGATCACCGGCGCACACTGAAGGGACACACGACACCTCGACACACGATCGCGCGCCTCTAACGATCCTCCATCGGGATAACAAACGGCCCCGGTTCGTTCCAAAGCCCCGTGTCGACGGATTCCTTCTCCCCCAAAAGAGCCTAAAAAGAATCGTTCAGACCACCGGCCTGCCTACGGCGCTATAGCCTCTCTCTCTCGAGAACAAGCTCTAGGCTGGGGGTTACAGATGGTCAATGGGTCTGTAGGTCGGTGTGGGGGGAGAGGGTGGAGTTTTGTCACTGTAATCGGTTAAGTATTTGCCATTCCCGTATCTCTTTGAAAGCGTCTAAACAAGCGCAGAGAGTGTTCGTCAATCACCAATCCTCTAAGTCTCAATCAAGTTCTAGGTTGCTTCGACAGGCAGTAAATGATTTGCGTAAACAGCGACCGTGTGTGTGTCTCATAACCAAAGCCATGAAGAAATGAGGTAAGGTTTAAGTAAAACGCCCTATGTGTCTAGAACGTCGCCCCATCGACGCCGGACCAACATACCCATGCACGTGCCAGTGTTCCCCGTGGTTCATCAACGGGTGCCATTCGGGTTCTTCGTTCAGCCGGGCCGAGCCCAGCTCCAGCACAGCCTCGCCGAGGAAATCGTTAGGGTCGTAGTTCCTGTAGTCCCACACCGTGATCTCCAACGCGCGCTTCCTCAGCTCCGTCGACCTGATCCCGTTGTAGACGAACGTCTGGTCCCACCGTGGATCGTTCGTGTTCGCCAGCGTTTTCGTGCGTCTTTTCGACTTCTCGCTGCGTTTACAGCAATGAACATCGTTATTAGATGGTTACCAAATGATACTGAAGGTTCGACCGATGTCGACTTTAACATTAGAACTACCAGATTGGTTAACTTCATCGATTTCAAATCTATTCTTTCATAATTATCGAAAAATCGTGGATGACTCTCTTATATTATTAAGTATATTGATTTAGATGAACTCTGACCAGAGTATAAACAAATAGAAATCTCAATAAACGTATTTTTACAAATTGCACAAGAAAACACAAGACAATCGGCTTTACCGATCGATAGTTCTAGTGTTAAGCGCAGAGTATTTTCATTCGGGGAAAATGAAACGGAGAAGCACGCGGAATGTGGGGATTGTTGGCAACCCGGCCAAACTCTCGACGGCTATCTTTTTGGCTCGAGAAAGACTCTTCGGGAAATGATTAATCTTAAGGGTAGACAGATTTAACGGCATCGTCCAGACTCCGGTATCTTTTTACGCGGTCCTATCGCGTCCGCATGCACGCACGCGGCATGTTTCCGCCTCGTTGAATCGTCGCCGCGGTGTTCTTGGCGCTCGGCGATCGTAAAATCTCCGACGGAACGGTCTATCGATTATCCGAGCGGTAGCCGGATTTCAAATTTAAGGAACCCAGGGTGGGGCGACTCGATGTTTCGTGGAACTAAAGATTCGGTTTGGTGCACGCGAATTGGGGCTTTTAGCGATTAATCTTTGATTGTTGTCCCATTCTCTTGGAACACTCTGCATAGTTTCTTCATAGTTGCTGAAGGATGTTACGCGACCCTCCCTCTTTGGCTTCGATAAAACTCCGACTTTGTGTAGCCAAAAGTAAGGAGAACTTGTACTATAAATCTGAGTCGGACGAAGCAGTCGTCCATCATTTTCGGTTATTCCGTAAAACCAAAGAGTTCTATTGCAATCACAGAACAGTGTACTACTTGTTTCTCTAGCCTAGATCTCTACTAGGTCCTACAGACTATTAGATCAAATCAAATCGCGAATCAAGTTAAATCCTTCTAATAGTACGAAAGAAACTTAAGCCCTAACTAAACATTCTTAACACATTCTCGACTGACAATTTTACCCAGAAAATATCCTATATTACTGGTTATTGTTCCGTAATTAAATATGAAAGTGAAGCAATCTAAAGAAACTCCAATGTACTTTATTTATACATAACGAATTAAATAAAAATTAAAATTGAAATGGCTAATGCAAGTGCAAACACGAGTTAACTCGTGACCGATCAACGATCTGTTAAAACACACGAAAACAAGTACGAGGAACAAGAGAATTTCACCTTGCGCATTCGAATAGTTCCTCACCTCTTATCCGGAAGCAAAAAGATCTTCGCATACGGATTCCTAGGTTGCCCGTTGCTCCTTGGTATAAGCCCGGAGGCGCAGAACAGCGTGACGATCAGCTGCAGCGCGACGTGGTCGTAGCCCACCTTCACCTGCAGGCTGCCGCCGATGCTTCCTGTCGGGTGTCTGAGGTGTCTGGCGCGTCCCTGGCCGTGCAGGTCCGGCGAGCCGGGCGAGGTCACTAAAACCGAAGGTTTCTCGCGCCTCGCGTCGTATAACTCTGCAAGTGATCGTTCGGTGTCCGACAAACTTGAAATACTCTTGG